TTGAGCTAGATGTTCCCCGAGACCATGGTCCCCACAGTCCTCAGCCCAGTAATTTGGTCCCTCAGGGAGTTTGGCTGTGTCTATGGAGCTTCCATGACCTTGTCAGTAGCTGATTTTTTGAAAGTAGATCGCCAGGCGTTATTCTTCTGAGGCGACACTGGGTGGACTCAAACCTCCAGCCTTACAGTTCATCCATTCATCTGTTGATGGGCACCTAGGTTGTTTCCATCTTTTTGCTATCGTGAACAGTACTGCAGGGAACATGGGTGTGCATATGTCTATTCGTGAAATTGAGTGGGAGAACTGATATTTCTTCACAAGAGGATCAGTAGTGATCAATGATGAGAATCACTGGGCTGATAGAGAATCCAGGGGCCATGCTTTCCAGGGTTCCTCCAGTCTCAGTCAGACCATTAAGTCTGGTCTTCTTACTGGAATTTGAGTTCTGCACCCCACCTTTCTCCTGCTCCATCGGGGACTCTCTGTTCTGTTCCCTGTCAGGGTGGTCATTGGTGGTAGCCAGGCACCATCTAGTTCTTCTGGTCTCATGCAGATGAAGTCTCTGGTTTATGTGGCGCTTTCTGTCTCTTGGGCTAATACTTTCCTTATGTCTTTGGTGTTCTTCGTTCTCCTTTACTCCAAGTGGTTGGGACAAATTGATGCATCCTAGATGGCTGCTTGCAAGCTTTTAAGACCCCAGATGCCTCTCACCAAAGTAGGATGCAGAACATTTTCTTAATAAGCTTTGTTATGCTAATTGACATAGATGTCCCCTGCAAGCATGGTCCCCACACCCTGCATCCCTGCTACTCTGTCTCTCAAAGTATTTGATTGTAGTGAGGAAGCTTCTTAGCTTTGGTTTAGTCCAGTTGTGATGGCTTCCCCTGTGCTGTGTGCTGTCCTTCCCTTCACCTAAGATAATTCTTATCTACTATCTAGTTAGTAAATAACCACATTCTCCCTCCCCACCCTCGTAACCATCAAAGAATGTTTTTTTCTGTGTTTAAACCTTTTCTTGAGTTCTTACAATAGTGGTCTTATATAATATTTGTCCTCCTGTGACTGACTAAATTCACTCAGCATAATGACCTCCAGCTTCCTCCATGTTATGTTTCACGACTTCATCGTTGTTCTTTATCGTTGCGTAGTATCCCATTGTGTGAATATACCATAATTTGTTTATCCATTTGTCCGTTGATGGGCACCTAGGTTGTTTCCATCTTTTTGCTATTGTGAACAGTGCTGCAGTGAACATGGGTGTGCATATATCTATTTGGGTCATGGCTCTTATTTCTCTAGGATATATTCCAGGGAGTGGGATTGCTGGATGGTATGGTACTTCTATTTCTAGCATTTTAAGGAAGCGCCAAATCGATTTCCAAAGTGGTTGTACCATTTTACATTCCCACCAACAGTGTATGAGTGTTCTAGTCTCTCCATAACCTCGCCAACATTTATTATGTTTGTGTTTTTTTGATTAATGCTAGCCTTGTTGAGGGTGAGATTGTATCTCATTGTAGTTTGGATTTCCA